TTTTTTTTTTTTTTTTTGTAGAGACATCTTGCTCTATTGCTCAGGCTGGTCTCAAAATCCTTGGCTTAAGGAATCCTCTGAACTTGGCCTCCCAAAGTGCTAGGATTATAGGCATGAGCCACTGCACCTAACCATACTGTTTATTTTCTAAATCTCTGTTTCTTCATTTTCAAAACAGGAATGATAGTATCTACCCTTGTATTTTCCTTACAAAGTTAGTAAAAGGATCAAATAAGATATTGTATATGAAAACACTTGTAAAGTACTATATAAAATATGCTACAGTTTCAAAAATATTTTTATTCTGATTCTTTGATACTGATTTAATAGGTGCTTTTTTGAATGCTTTTCCAGCAAGATTTAGGGGAAGGAAATTTGAAGAAAAGAAAAGCAAAGGATGTTAAAATAGATTTTGTTTTCAAAGGTTTTTTCATCTAAGTTCTACAAAATGTTTTAGAAAATTTTTATCTTTATTTTAGTACCACTCCAATTGCTGAGAGATTTTTCACGAGTTCTACCTCTCTGACTCTAAAGCATGCTGCCTGGTATCCGAGTGAAATGCTAGATCCCCATATAGTGCTGTTAACATCAGACAATGTAATAAGGTAAATTTTATTTTTATCTTACAGTTTTGTGAGTGGAAAAGATGTTTTCCTTCCCAGGATAGCACCAAATGTGTCATTGAGTATTAGAATGCTTTTATCTAATGGCTATTGTGACCCATTCTCATCATAACAAGCACCTAACTGCCTTAATTTCCATGCCTTACTTACTCCTATCTACCAGTCATCCTGCTTCCATGATTTATAAATACTTTCCCCAAACTCTTCAAATAATTTCCCCCAAACTCTTCATCATACATGGTCATGTATTTTTTAAGTTTTAAGATACAGAAAAACCAAGAAACATAAAATCCGCAGATGGAAACAAATGAAACCTTTCCCGCCACACCCAGAAGCCCTGCACTAATTGAATCAGAAAGCCATGTTGACTGTGCTTTTTGGAAGAGAAATAATGGGCGATAACACAGTCTGTCTCAAACTTTCATAGTGACCTACATATGTCATTCTTTTGGTGAGAATGTAGCATAGAGGAAAGAGAATATAATTAGAAATTGAAAGATTAGAATTCTTGTTCCAATGCCACTTCTGTTATCTCTAAGATCTGGAACTTCTTTTGGGGGGAGTGAGGGTGGAGGTGGTCAACTTCCAATCTGCAAATTGAGCAGGTTTGATTTGATAATCTCTAAAGCCCCTTCTAAGGTTTGCAGTATATGATTAAATACCCCAATCTTACTTAGATTTCTGCTATGTTATCAGTGAACTTTCTGGATCTGTCTTACATAAAAAGTTTATTGGAAGAGATGGTGGGGAGATAGTATAGGTACAATTCTTCCTCAAAGCCCTGAAAGAAGTATCTGGCCCTAAATATTGAAGGTTTTTTTTTTTATTATTTTATTTATTTATTTTAAATATGGGGTACTTAACACTTCTCTTCTCCTAAGCTTTGGGCCCTGCTGACAGTTGCAAGGCAAAAGGAGATTTTTGACCAAATGCCTTGTTGCTCTTAAACATTTTCCCCCCACTGTTCCTCAGCATAATATTACTATCTTATTATTCATGTATATTTTGGAGTCAGTAGTGCTTGTAGGCAGCTAGGAAAACCATGATGAATATATATTCAAATGAGTCAAATTGTCATTAAAAACATTTAGTAAATACATATGTGGTATTTTATTGATAATGGAACAAGCCAGGTTTAAAAATTTTAATTCGGTAAAGACTTTATAAGGAACATTTTAACTCCTTTTTTTTTTTTAAACAGTCTGACCCTATTACCCCAGGATAGAGTACTATGGCATCATAGCTCACAGCAACCTCAAACTTTTGGGCTAAAGTGACATAGCCTCCCAGGTAGCTGGGACTACAGGTACCTGCCACAACACCTGGCTATTTATTCTATTTTTAACAGAAATGGGGTCTCACTCTTACTCAGGCTGGTATCAAACTCCTGAGCTCAAGGGATCCTCCTGCCTTAGCCGCTCAGAGTGCTAGAATTATAGGCACAAGCCACTGCAACCAGCCATTTTAACTCTGTCATTGACAGCCTTTTGAAAATTCTTTCTCTCTTTAACAATAACTATATATAAGGACTATCTAAAGTATCTAGCCAATAAAGACATACTTGGCTGAATGTTTTCTGGGAAGCCCTCATATGCTGTGAAGTATAAGTTGCTTAAAATTAATATGATTTGGTTTAGAAAAAATTCTGTTTTATACTGTTTTATACTTTCCCTTGAAAAAAGAGGGATGATAAAATATTAGGTCTTTTTTTTTTTTTTTTTAAGGAATCAATGTCTTGCTCTGTTGCAGACTGGATCTGAATATCTGAATCCCTGGGCTTAAAGCATCTTCCTGTCTTCTGAATAGCTGGGACTATGGGTGTATACCAGCATGCTGGCATTTTGAGTCTTTATATAACAAAAACCTAAAATACATTGCAGGCTAAATGTCATTTGGTATATAAAGAAGAGTAAGAGCTACTCAGGAAGCAGAGGTGGAAGAATTGCTTGAGCCAGGAGTTTGAGACCAGCCTGGGCAATATAGCAAGACCCCCATCTCTAAAAAAAAATTAAATATAGGCATGGAGGTGTGCCCCTGTGGTCCCAGCTACTTGGTAAGCTAAGATGGGAAAATCACTTGAGCATAGGAATTTGAGGCTGCATTGAGCTGTATTGTGCCACTGCACTCTACCTTGGGCAACAGAGGGAGATCCCCATCTCTAACAATAAATAAATAAATAAGATATTGTCTGTGCAGCTCAACACAAAATAGTAACTCCTACTCAGTCTATTTGCATTGAACTGAGGGACCCAGAGAAGCCAACACCAGCAAGCGCTCTGCACAGAGAGACAAAGGTGTGGCACCCTCTAATATTCCTCACTGGCTTATATCAAAATCTCAGGCATGAAAAAATAAATACAGTATAGAAGAAAGCTTCAAAGAGGAACAAAGGTTAAAAAAAAACAAGGAGTTTGGCCGGGTGTGGTGGCTCATGCTTGTAATCCTATAACCCTGGGAGGCCTAGGCAGGTGGATTTCCCTGAGCTCAGAAGTTCGAGACCAGCATGAGCCAGAGTGAGACCCCGTCTCTACCAAAAAATAGCCAAGGCATTCTGGCAGGAGCCTGTAATCCCAGCTACTTGGGAAGCTGAGGCTAGAGAATCATTTAAACCCAAGGGTTGGAGGTTGCTGTGAGCTATGACTCCACAGTACTCTACTGAGGGCCACAAAGTGAGACTCTGTCTCCATAAAAAGAAAGAAAGAAAGCAGAATAAAAAATAAACAAAAAAAAAAAACAGTTTATCTTTAAGTGGATGTTGAACTCTTAACACATTCTGTTTACTGCACTTCTGTTTTGCCTAAGGACTGAGACATGCTGTGTCTGAAGAGTATTGTTTTTAGTACTCCTGGCTAGCAATGATGCTTGGCTTTTTCCTCAGATTACTGTGTTCTTGGTGCCTACCACTTTCAACCCTGTGCTCTATTCTACAAGTTATGTTTCCTTCTCTGGTGGGATTTGGTATTTAATAGGCAGAGACCATTAAAGGAAAACCAGCACGCTTAGGGTTAGTAGTGAGATGACTAGACAAGTTGAGGCTCAGGAGAGAAGAGATGGAGTTGTAATGGTATGAATTAGCTGTTAAAGAATTTTGTTACGGACAGAGAACATTTCAGGTTCTAAAGAAACTTCCCTCTTGTAGAGTTAATGAACAAATGAAATATGGTACTTTGTCAATAACAGGAAGATCTTTGGCAAAGAAATGATTGTGGTAACTGGTAGAAAAATTCTCAAGAACTAACTAGATGAAGAAGGAAGTGCAATTTTGGGAAATGAAAGAGAATTTTAAGTGCTGATTTATTCTCTTTTGATTGCTAGAATTTACTCTCTTCGTGAGCCCCAGATACCCACTAAAGTGATTGTACTTTCAGAAACAGAAGAGGAAAATCTAATACTCAACAAAGGGTAAGTTTTTCTTTTCTCTTTTTTTTTTTTCTTTTTCTTAAACGGTAAGTTTTTATTTGTGTGATGAAATGATTTTTAAAATTAGTTTCTTAGTATTGTAAATGTAATTTTAACAGAATTTGCAAGGTTTTCTAGAGGTGACTTTAGTATGTTTTTGGTAATATGTAAAGTAAGAAAAAATAAGCAATATGAGTAAATAACAAGAAAGTACAGACTGGGCACCTGTACTTAGCTCAAGCAACTAAAGCTCCAGCCACATACACCAGAGCTGGCAGGTTTGAATCCAGCCCAGGCCTGCCAAACAACGACAACAACCACCAAAAAATAGCTGGAGATTGTGGCAAGCACCTGTAGTCCCAGCTACTTGGGAGGCTGAGGGAAGAGAATCACTTAAGCCAAGGAGTTGGAGGTTGCTGTGAGCTGTGATGCCACAGCACCCTACCCACGGCGACAGCTTGAGGCTCTGTCTCCAAAAGAAAAAAAAAAAGAAAGAAAAGAAAAGAAAGTACAAATCTGAATGGCACTATCTGCTAACTTGATCTTTTTTTTAAAATAAGGTTCTGAAATATGAGTAGCAGAATTGATTCATTTTTGTAATTTGGATAAGAGAATACATTACAAAATTGCAAAATTATAGAAAAGATAAAGGGTGAGAATGTTGAGCTGGATGCCTACCAGCTGTTTATTCAGTGTAGATAAGGCAGATTGCTGAATTCCCAGATCAGCATCTGGTATCCCAGAACTTACAGTGGACTATATTAGGTCATTAAACCTGAAATGCCCAATTTTAAATCAAAGTTTACTTTATTATATCTCAAACAAGAAGCAGTACAATTAGTCAAGGTATGCACCTGAACAGTATTGCCATCTGCCAGCAGCGAAGAAGCATAGAGAGCAAGTGGCAATGAAATCACAAAAGGCATTTTCCAGCCACATACACCAGAGCTGCTATTTTACCTTGCAATAAGTAGTCCACAGCTTGGAAGAAGTTATAATTAGTTGGTGCAATGTCTAGCGAATAGGTAGATGTCAGAGAGTTTCTAAGTCCAGCTTCTCTATAGTTTGAGCAGTGTTGTTTGTGCATCAGTATTCTCTTGCAAGAGATTGGCCTGTCACTATTGACCAGTCATAGCTTCTTTTTTTTTTTTTTTTTTTGAGACAGAGTCTCACTATGTCACCCTTGGTAGAGTGCTGTGGCATCACAGCTCATAGCAACCTCAAACTCTTGAGCTTAAGCAATTCTTTTGTCTCAGCCTCCCAAGTAGCTGGGACTACAGGTGCCTGCCACAACGCCCAGCTATTTTTTTGTTACAGTTGTCATTGTTGATTTTAGCTGGCTGGGGCTGGGTTTGAACCCACCAGCTTTGGTGTATGTGGCAGGCACCCTACCCACTGAGCTACAGGTGCTGCCCCAGTCACAGCTTCTTAATCACAAGCATCCTCATCATGTTGTCTACTTGGTTGCAGCAAACATCCACTATAACTGATTAATCGGGTTTCATGAAGCTGTAGTTGATAATACCAGCTCTGGACCACCAAACAGACACATTAGCTTTTTTTGAT